TTATTATCTATGCAACTGTAAAAAAGATTCTAGAAACAAGGATTTGGAGATTTAAACTACAGTTTTAATGGTGTCTTCTCTGTTAGCCCACAGTAGCCCACAAACCGAGCTCTGTCGTCATCTCTGAGAGCCAAAAGAGAGCTTCTTAACAGCTTCCTGAGGGGAGAGATGTTAGCCACTCTCGGGACCATGGCATGCCAGTGCCACACATCTTCCATATCTTTTGGGATCTCTTTACAGTCTGTTTTAATTTAATTTCAAACTTTTTTTTTTTTTAAGATTTTATGTACTTATTTATTCATGAGAGACACACAGAGAGAGGTAGAGACATAGGCAGAGGGAGAAGCAGGCTCCCTGTAGGGAGCCCAATATGGGACTCGATCCCAGGACTTTGGGATCACGACCTGAGCCAAAGACAGACACTCAACCACTGAGTCACCCAGGTGCCCCTAATTTTGGACTGTTTTGGTTTTTTTTTTTCCCCCGGACTGTTTTAATTGTCAAATGTAAGTTAGAATTTTCCTTTACACTTGTTGGCAGTCGTACAAATTGCTGATGGTATTTAGGTGCTTTATTCATTTCAGGAGTTGGAGGAAGATTACTGTTCTGTGAGTAGAAAGTGATTTCTATTAAGCTTTAATTTGAGAGAAAACATATAAAGAAGCTTCCTTTTGAGCATATAAAGTTTGTTTTATGTTCCATCTTTGATATTACTGCTTTTACTGCTTTAAAGAGTCTTGGATACGGACTGTGGGAATACTTAATGAGAACACTGACCATGCCTCATCTTAATCTTCCGTATGGTTTCATAGGTGTAGGCGTGATCAGTTTTATATGTGGCAGATCTTCCTTGAAGAGGTGAGGACATGTACAGATTCACCCACCCTGGCCTGTGTCAATCCATAGCACAGCTATTTCTTTTAAATCTATGGCTGTGTATGATCATAAAGTTTGTTTTTGTCATACAACAATTTTTTTTTTTTTGTAGACTGAAATCTACACTAGAGGCTCATTCAATATTGAGTACTCATATGGGGATTAATGAACACTTGTTGAACTAAAATAGGATGCTTTATTTATTTATTTTTGCGTAGAGAAAGAGATTTTGAGTTTGCCTTATAAGCACACACCAGGATGCTTTTAATTTATCATGTTCTTTAGAAGAAATGATGCCAGTAAGGATGAATTACTTCCTCTTATGAAAGCTTCTTGGGTGATTCTGATTTGTTCATCCCCTTATCAAATAATCGAATGAATTGAAAATAATTTTTAGATTTCACATATATTTGCATATTCTTTCATATTCTTAAACACATGCGTCAAGCTCTGAAATGGGTGGATTTTCATGTTGCACAATTGGAAGTTCAGCCAGCACTTCCTCCTCTCCTGCCACCACCCCTAACTGCTGCTTGATCTGAGTTCCCTTTATTATTTTATATATGTAGGTCATAATATGTGTGAGAGTACTGCATAAACTGTAAAAAGGCCATATATGTTGTCCTTTATTACCTGGCTTGGTTTATTGTTAAGAGGAGATCATGTAGTATAGGCACTAGTGGAGAAGAGGTTGCTAGACCTCTTGCTTTATCTGAAAATCAGTGTTTTAGTCCAACAAACGACATGTCAGTGCTTGTGCATTGGATTAGAATGTGGTAAGGATTTCACCTAGGCTCCTGGTGCTCTCCTCTAATAAAATAACTGAGTAGCAAATTCAAATTGACTCTCATTTATGCTTTTTTTTTTTATTTTTTTTTTATTTTTTTTTTATGATAGTCACAGAGAGAGAGAGAGAGAGGCAGAGACACAGGCAGAGGGAGAAGCAGGCTCCATGCACCGGGAGCCCGATGTGGGATTCGATCCCGGGTCTCCAGGATCGCGCCCTGGGCCAAAGGCAGGCGCCAAACCGCTGCGCCACCCAGGGATCCCTTGACTCTCATTTATGATAACTTCCTCCTTGGGTCTGTCCTACTTGGGATTGCCCACTTCTGGGAAAGTCAGGCAATAGGAAATGATTTTGTTCATAGTACCTGGTTGAGGTAAAATGCCTTCATCATAAAGACATGCAGAGAAGACTTCAGCAAATGGGTAGCCTGGCAGGTTTCTGCTAGAGGGCATTCCAGCATTGGCAGTCCAGTGTGCAAGAGACAGGGTGACCTCCTGGGTGCCTTCTGGCTCCAGACCTGTGATCAAGAGGCATAACTAAAGCTGTTTGAACACTGAAAATAATACCAGACAAGCCCAGTTAAAATGAAAACTGAAAATTCATGGCATTATAAAAATTTATTTATACTACACACAGAATTTTTTCCCAGCTATGCCCAAAATTAGTTTAAGTGGTAAGAGTTTTTAACGATCCTAGGGCTAAATTATTTCCATGGGAGGAAAATACTTCATTGTATCATTTTAAGTAGGGAAAAAATAGTTTTATTTAAGGAAATTTACCTATTGACATTTTAGGAGCTCTGGTGTTAAGTAACCTGTTGTGTCAATTTTAAAGGAGATTTACTGATTTTTGAAAGTACGGAATAAGCTTCTGCTTTCAAGAATTCAGCCTAGTGTTTCAAGTGAGAGCATGTGTATTGCAACATTATTTATCTATTTTTGTAAAGGGCTGTTAATCACTTGGTGCCACCCTGTCTGAGTTGTGTGTTTGTGGATTGTCTACATGAAATCTCTTGATATGGCCTCTGATTTCTGCAAAAACTTTTCCTATATTTTTAGCCCACCACCCTAGTATAAAGCTAAATTATTTAATAGAAATATTTAGACACCAGAGCTTATTTTTAATGAAATCTTTATTGCACATGGTACTCTATTCTTTTTTGGAACCAGGGCAGTGTTTAAAAGCAAATGCCAATGTTGTTATGAAATCTAATTCATTTATCCTACATTTGGCCAAAACCTAGTCACTCACTCTCCCTCTTTCTTTCTCTCGCCTATTTCTAAGCACATGGGCTTTTGTTTAAAAGAAGAATTAGTATGTCCAGTTTGTTTCCACCTTGTCTTTCAAGGTTTGAAGTTTTGCTAGATACTTGGTTTTTAATGGGACTGTCATTTAATGCCTCTTGAATTATTCTGCAGGAGTGTTAGCATGGGTTGTAAACTGGAGTTCTTGTGTGAAATGTGAGACTGTGACCTCTTGATCCAGAGGCCAGGAGTGTTGCCAACTGAACCAAAACCCTGCTGTTTCCTAAGAATAGTAGTATTCTGCATAATGATTGGAGTTCAACTCCATGCTTTTGATGTTCTCCAATAATTGGTCAGAATCCCAGATACACTGGTTGGTTTTGTATGTCTTGTGAGTCGACAGGCAACTGTTTGTAGGGAGGAGAGGGAAGATGTGCAGCATTTCTTCAAGAGTTTGGGAGAGAGTTCTAGAGGACCAGTAGCAGTGGGACTGAAGACCTGTCCCTGTCCTCACCCCACAGAAGCTGTCTCCAGATGCCGAGAGAAGTATCTGTGTTAATGTTAACCCTAATCAACTTGAAAAGAAACCGTGTGGTAAATGTTCCATTGAAGTCTTTTCACCCCTAGAAACTGTGAATACTGAACTGAGAAAACAAAGAAGGCACAGAAAGGTTGGTGGGAAATGGGGAGAAGTGGGTTCATCTGGGCAGCGTGAAGTATTTGTAAAAAGTCCTGTCAGTTTGAACTGTTTACAATCAAAACACAACCTCACGGGCCTGCAAGTATTGGATAAGATGAGTAATACTTCATAAATTCGGGATTCTTGCTCTCACATCCAAGCTGCCTTTTATGTATTTCTACTTTTTCTACTCCTTTGCTTATTCATCTTGTTCTTTATGCCTTTCAAAATTTGCAGTGTTTTGATGCCTGAATATTTTGGAGTCTTTCAGGACAAATGTGGTTGCAAAATCATGGTTCACCAGAGATACAGAAGACAAGCCCTCTTACCTGAGTAGTTGAGATCGGTCACTTAATAGAAATTTGCTTAGGTTGACTTAGTTGAATCAGTTATATCAAGGAATTAATTTGCTTGGTTTAAATTGGCAGTGTACAAGTCAGTGGAACCACTGGCCTGGCCCCAGATCTCCTGTCTAGCCTTGATTCTGCTTACCGCCTCCTTGCTCTCCTGTACACACCCCCAGTGAGTGTGTGCCCACCCTCAGGGCTGCTTACCTGAGGAGCTCCCCTCAACACCTCCCCATTTTTTATTTTAGTCATTTAAGGCTCAGACACTGGCACAAATTCTTTCTTGTATTGACAGTATTTAAACCTCCCCATCTCAACTTCTGTAGTTTTTCTTTCTTTCTTTCTTTTTTTTTTTTTTTTTTTTTTTTAAGATTTATCCATTTGTATTAGAGAAAGCGTGCACATGTCCACTCGGGGGAGTCAAAATCATGAGTCAAATGCTCAGCCACTGAGCCATCCAGTGCCCCAAGGGCATGATTTATTCTAAAATCAGTCCACAGTGAAAACAGTAATGACTAGCATTTGTTGAGTGTTTATTATGTGCCAGGCACTGGTTTAAGTCCTTCATATGGAGTAACTGAATCCTCGCAGTGACTCTGTTATCCCCATTTTATTGATGCAAAACTAAGGCACACTTCCACCAAGATCCGTAGCTAACAGGTGACGTGGCCAGGCAGCTTTGCCAGTCTGGTGCCAGAGTCCATGTTCTTACCCATTATTCTGGACTAAAATATAAATAAATATTTAGCCAGGCATTATGCCATGTGTTTTTTTTTTTTGTTGTTGTTGTTTTGTTTTGTTTTTTTTTTTTTTGCCACGAGGTGTGCTTTATTTTCATTAATCATACAAATAATTTACTATAATATCCCAGAGCAAACCAGAGAATTTGGCAGTCCAATTGGGGGGGGGGTCCTCTCAGAGACCTGCAAGGCCAGTGGCCTCGGCACGGAGTACCCAGGTTCACAGTGTAGCCTGTTGCTCGTGTCCATCTTGCAGGTGGCTCTTCTTCCTCCACATCATGACTGGGGTGTCTCGAAGATGATGGGGGTGGGGAATCCTCTAGATTCTTAGGAAATCTCACTCCACTTCTCCTGCTCAATGGTCTCTGGCAGGGCATTCTTCTGTATCTCCATTTTCTTTAGTTTGGCCTTATCAAAGCTGGCGATTTCCCCCATGTCTGGTCCATCTGCCATTTTCTTAGAGTGATCCGAGGAATTCTGTTGCAAGCCTGCTGCCTGGTGCTCCCACTCGCGTAGCTGCAGCAAGAGACCTATGCCATGTACTTTAAGCTGCTTTTCTCATGTAATCTTCATCACAGCTCCATGAGGATTTGTAAAGTACTAGAAAACTCCCAGTAGTCATCTTTATTTATTTTTTTTAAGATTTTATTTATTCATAGACACACACACACAGACACACGCACACAAAGAGAGAGAGGCAGAGACACAGGCAGAGGGAGAAGCAGGCCCCATGCAGAGAGCCTGACATGGGACTTGATCCAGGGTCTCCAGGATCACGCCCTGGGATGCAGGCGGTGCTAAACTGCTGCGCCACCGGGGCTGCCCCCAGTAGTCATCTTTAGATAGAAATTTTAGTCTGTATTCTGACAATATAAAGAAATAAGATAATTTCCTATAAGAAATAATAAATATTGGCAAGGATGTGGAGAAAGGGGAAAGCTTATATACACTGTTGGTAGGATTGCAGACTGGTGCAGCCACTGTGGAGAACTGTATGAGGGTTCCTCAGAAAATGTCAAATAGAATGACCCTATGACCTAGTAATTCCATTCCATTCCATTAAGTAATTCCATTACTGGGTATTTACCCAAAGAATATGAAAACCATAATTCGAAAAGGTAGGTACACTCCAATGTTGATAGCAGTCTCCGTCTACAGTAGCCAAATTATGGAAATAGCCCAAGTGTGCATCGACTAGTGAGTAGATAGAAAAAAGGTGGTTGTACATATACTGGAACAGTTACTCAGCCATCAGGAAGAATGAGATCTTGCCATTTGCGATGACATGGATGGAGCTAGAGGGTATTATCCTAAGGGAAATAAATTAGAGAAGACAAATTCATTTGATCTCATTCATATGTAGAATTTAAAAAACTCCAAATGAACAACAAAAGAGACCAAAAAATGTGGACCTTTAACTCTAGAGAACACGGTCACCAGAGGGGAGGCAGGCAGGGGAGACAGGACGGGGGTGAAGAGCACGTGGACTGTGCTGAGCGCTGAGTCATGTACACGATCGTGAGTTACTGTTGTACACCTGGAGCTGTAACATACCACATAGTATGTTAACATGTTGGGATCCCTGGGTGGCGCAGCGGTTTGGCGCCTGCCTTTGGCCCAGGGCGCGATCCTGGAGACCCAGGATCGAATCCCACGTCGGGCTCCCGGTGCATGCCTCTCTTTATCTCTCTCTCTTTGTCTCTCAAGAATAAATAAATAAAATCTTTTTTAAAAAAATTTAAAGAAAGACAGTAAGTTAGAATGAGAGAGTTTAGCTTTAGTAGTATTTATTTCTGGGAATCCCTGGGTGCTCAGCAGTTTAGCATCTGCCTTCGGCCCAGGGCATGATCCTGGAGTTCCGGGATTGAGTCCCATATTGGGCTCCCTGCATGGAGCCTGCTTCTCCCTCTGCCTGTGTCTCTGCCTCTCTCTGTCTGTCTCTATGAATAAGTAAATAAAAATCTGTAAAAAAAAAAAAAATTATTTCTACATTACTCGTATACAGACACACTTGGTATAAGTGTCACCCTTCGGGGAAATCCCTGGGTGGCTCAGCAGTTGAGCATCTGCCTTCAGCCCAGGGCAAGATCCTGGAGTCCCGGGATCAAGTCCCATATTGGGCTCCCTGCATGGAGCCTTCTTCTCCCTCTGCTTGTGTTTCTGCCTCTCTCTTTCTCTGTCTCTCATCAATAAATAAAATCTAAAAAAAAATAATAATCCCCTTCGGGTTTAAGTGTCCTGAGACCCTCCCTTCAGGCAGTGTGATAACAAAATACTTCTTCTGTGCACAATGGATGTACATTTGAAAGAAAAAAAGATAATTTCCTCCCATTACAGAGTGTACATGCTAGAGTATGGAGTTCGTAAAATTATCTTTCTGGGTCTCTCCTACCTTTTGAAATCATTAAATTCACTTGCTAAAATGAATTCCTGAAGGGCAGGATGACACTCCCATCTGCTTGGAAGGATGATGGGTGTCGTCCCTCCTTACAAGAGAAGTATGAGAATGGGGCCCTTGATGAGCAGGTGTAAAAACTGCTATATTAAAAAAAAATGAGAATGATAGTCCTGAAAAATAAAAGGAAGACGTTTACTATTAAGGTTTAGAGTAGTGTGGAATTGTGGTAAAACAAAGCTTAAGAAAAGTCTTTAAAAAGCTTTAAAATCATTTTTGTGTACTAACTTTGACTACGTCCTTCATTATTTACAATACTTAGGATAGAGTACAGTCTGTATTAGAAATAAGAATTCTTAATGTTTTAAGTTTGTTTTAAATTCTAGCTATTTCATAACATAAGAAAATACCAGGGCATGCATAAACCTGGGATGCTTGGTTGTTTCTTAGCTGACTTATAAGAGAGATTGTAGCTTTCATCTCTAAATTGCAAGGAAACGTCCTGATTATCTGTAAATACCTGGCTTCAGGGCTCTGGGAGCCTAAGAACACCATTGGTCTGAAAGCTGAAATTAGTGAAGTTTATGACAGCTCGTGTTTCTGCAGAAGGAGGGCAGGTTTGGATCTAGTTTATTTGTGTGGAAAATCTTGTGTAATAGATAAGAACTGAAAAAACAGGACCTACGACTATGCTGTGCTTGGCTTAGTGCTTCCTTTGGCCCGGTGAGTCCTGTGTACTTGCTGGTGTTGCACGTCTGTGGATTCCGTGGGAGCCGTGATTCCCACTCAGTGTTGGGGCCAAATCTGGGGTGGCTGCAACACTGCAGCTGTTGCAGAGATCAGTATGCCCTTTAGATGTTCTCCTCCTGTTCTGGATAGCACAGCAAATTCTGAAATGTCTTTTGCCAGTTAGTTGCCCACCATTTTATCAGTCCATTTTTTTTTTAAAGATTTTATTTATTTATTCATGAGAGACACACAGAGAGAGAGAGAGAGGCAGAGACACAGGCAGAGAGAGAAGCAGGCTCCGTGCAGGGAGCCTGACGTGGGACTTGATCCTGGGACTCCAGGATCACACCCTGGGCTGAAGGCGGCGCTAAACCGCTAGCCACCGGGGCTGCCCTATCAGTCCATTTTTAAGAACAAATAGAAATTATATTGTTTATTGCACAAGTGGTGGAGGTCGTGAAGGGGAGAGTTAAAAAAAAGGCCAAAAACCTCCAATAAGTAACCCATGATCTCAGTACCTGCTGGTACCCTTTGTGTATAGTCAGCTGTTGGCTCTGTATGTCATCCCAGGCATGAGCAGACAGCTCTGCAGGAGAGGTGTAGCCTTGTCTTCCACTAGTAGCACAAGTTTGATGAGGACATTTTACTGCTCTTCCTGGTATTCTCTCCAGATGTTGCCAGGGAGTTTTTAGTACAGTTTCAAACAGGAGTTCCTTTAAGTTACTTAAAGTGACTGCTGTGGGCAAAACACCATACTGGAGCAAATGGAGAAACTTGAGACTTTTCCCAAAGCAGCACATGAAAGGAATGTTAATACTGTATAACTTGAGCACGTTCACCTGCCGGTGATCAGTGTACAGCTTCCTGAACCAGACTGTGCAGGGGCTGCAAAAGAAGAGAAGGAAGAGGCCTGTCCTGTCCTGTCCATGGAGGTGGCGTCAGAGGAGTATGACACGCATGTTGGGTAAGGAGTGGGCGTCCTGTCTGCAGTAGAGAACAAGAGGCTCGTGAGATGGGCAGGGGCAGTGGGCTGTGCCACCAGGGGCACAGGACTGGGGAAGCCACATGCATTGTTCTGAAGGGAAGGGAGAGACTGAACTCGTGGTTGAGGAAAGCTGGCCCAGCCCCTTGTTGTGGGGGTGCCTGGGAGATGGCTGTCTGGTTTAGCTCTTCTAATGAGTCATGTGAGGTGACTGGCCAAACTGATGACGGCTGTTGTGGGAAGTGACCAAGGAAGGGCATATACGCGATTCAGCACTGATTTATGCCAATGGAAAGTGAGAAGAGATTGTTGGGGAAGCTAAAAGTGATCACTTTTGTTCACTGTTATGTGGAATACTAAACGTATCTCCCTGCAAGCCTCTGTCCTACCAAGACCCGGGACAGTGCTTAGGGCTAGATCACCCTGAGTCTCGCTGCCTATCCCTTGCGTGGCGACTTGGCCTGTTGTTGATGGACCAATTGCATACGTGAAAGGGTATACATTTCTAGGGTCCTGTGCTGGGACCTGAGGCTGTCACTTCCTAGTATCTCTCAAGGCTGGAGACAGACAGGAAAGGCTGTCAGCCATGGAGGGACCCATGCCCAGGAGATTGGCTGCAGTGGGCCCACTTCCTTCCACAGGAACCGGGAATGTCACTGGAGTGGCCTTTTGTCTTGTCTGTCAAAGAAGAAGTCTCAGGATGATTTGATCTTTGGCCAGTTGAAGTATTACCAGCCAGCATTTTGGGAACTTTTAGAATGATGGATTAGTGCTCCATTATCTTGCATGGCAAATTGTTGAGTTATAAAATCTAATGATGAATAGCTTTAGTTACCAAGTTAAGCCTGAGTTCAATGATGTATGTGGTGATGCAGTAGCTTGATCCTACTCCCTCTCCCTGGCATCCTCAAGAGAGTAGGGGTTCCATCTTGTAGTATTTATTTTGCAGTTCCCACAACACTTTCAGAGTTGTGCGTGGCCTGCACTGATTTAAAAATACCATATATACTGACCTGATACATGGTTTAGTTCTTAAAATATTTTTATTTCATCAGGTTAAGAATGTTAATAGAACCAAGATGCTTGGGTGGCTCAGTGGTTGATCATCTGCCTTTGGCTCAGGTCATGAAACCGGGGTCCTGGGATCGAGTCCCACATCTGGCTCCCCGCAGGGAGCTTGCTTCTCCTTCTGCCTCCTTTGCCTCTTTCTCTGTGTATCTCTCATGAATAAGTAAATAAAATCTTAAAAATAAATGTTAATAGAACCTGTAAAGGATGAAAATTTTTTATACATGCACATCTTTTTTTTATTGATCTGAATTTCCTTATGGAAATACATATAATCAA